AAAATAAACCCTCTCTAGGAAGTAATTCTTTATTTTCTTTCCTATATTGAGGTTGCGTGGAAGCAGGACAGGGAAACATTTTATCGCCGTTTTGACATTGTTTTGGCACTTTTCGTCATCCAGGCAACAATTGTGTAAGGGAATTTAGACGAAATTCCCTGAAAATCTTGAAATATAATTCTGAACACCAAGTTTTACCGGGTTGACTGCCAACAATGTTTGACGAATGTGACCAAGACAGCTATTTTACAAATCTTTTTATATTCATGCCTTGTAATAAACCACAAAGCAACCCTGTGGGCCTTTTCTTTCAGAAGTCCCCTTCATCAGTCACATGTATGATTTTAAAACAGAAAATGTGAAAATCGTACTTTAAATTTATCATTTTAATTGAACGCTCTTATTTCTTCAAAGGATAAGTCGAACCGCTCAGGAAATTTTGCTGTTAAAAAACTGGTCTTTATTTTTGTCCACGCGCTGTGAATTACGATAGTCGCCAGAAAATCGCCGTGGAATAACTTTGTCAAAGAATGCCAGCAACATTTCTCAAATGCAATGAATGCACTATTCCCTAACGATCCTCAATGGAAGTTTAATTCATCCAACACACGATTTGCCCCAAAAAATATTCACAGTTATGTTCATTCGCGCCGCGTTGTAACGCAATCGTAGAAACAAAACGATCGTGATGCCGTGTTTTTTTCTTTTTTCGTCGCGGCAAGACACGAAACCTTTGAAAAGAAAAGAACGAAAAAAATAAGAGCGTTTGCATCGAATACACCGCGTCACGAATTACGTGCCATCTTCTCATCTTTGACATTCCGTTTGCTGACCTGAATAACTTTATCCCTCGATGACAGCTATGAGGAATAATGCACTGAGAATGTTTCGAGACGGGATTGTCTTCTTGCTTCAGTAAACGACGCATGTGTCGACGAATGTAACTTTTTTTCTTTCCGTGCACGAGTTCATTCGTAAATTTTGCCGGGCGGGCTGTAAATTCGCCAAGTGTGTTGTATTTGCTGTAAATGTTATATTAGGTTGATCTATGTGTTATTTTCAAGATGTACGGATTTCTTCGAGCGTTCTTGGAGAAATTAGGAATCTTCAGACAGAATGATAACCCATCTTTCTGATTGAGATCCAGCTGAACGTTTTCATGACATCTGCGGCATCCATGACAAAAGCTTGATTTTAAACGCTGTAAGAAAATGTGTTCGAGTCGTATAGTTGGTCAATGTGTATATTTTCTGCCGCCAAGTTTGATTTAATTTATTTGACAGAATCAGCATTACTGCACTGGAATAAAATGCATTAATAGGGAAAAGGAATTATGGCCTTGCCGAGAAGGTTCTGTTATGTCTATGAGGGATATTCTTACTTCCGAATATTGTTTCAAGATACCGCTGGAATAGAGAAAGCTGTGCAATTCATACCAATGCAATAATACGCATGCATGAGAAGACGATTTATTTTTTCTGTTCAGATCAAAGGAAATTAATGCGGAGATTTTTTTTCTGTCAGAATTTCTCAACATTTTTGTTTTCGTTTCTTGATCGAAATTTCGTTTTTTTCAAACATTTTTTTCTAGGCGAGCTACCCTGAGAACATAGCGATGTTTTGCTTTCCGGATGCGTGCAATTGGCGCCGGAAGACGGGAGGCGCCGAACTGAGTCGTGACATTTCAACGTGCAACTCGTATTCGATCGTGTTGACGAGTGACAAGGGCGAGCGAACGTTCGGCTATTGCCGTCGTATCGTTCCCGACAGCCAGGAGAACAGCACTCCGTTGGCCTACTGCTTGCTGTCGAAAATCCGGGCTCACGGGTTCTATGACAAGGTGTGTGTCAGGACTCAGGCGTGATCTTTTCCAGATGGGCTTCATTTGTTGGTTATATCGATTGTACCCTGTAACCTTTGGTCCACGGACCGGCGCCGGACCGGAAAACGTTTTTTGCCGGTCCGCGGAAAATTTTCTCTAGCACAACACATTTATCAAAGGTGTTCTCTTCATAAATATGTTCTCTTCATCTGAAATTTTGGAAAGACAATGGCAGTTGAAATTATCTGATGAAAAACAAAAGTCTGTAACCCTTTGGTCCATGGGCCGGCGTCAGTCCAGAAAACGTTTTTTTGCCGGTCCGCGGGAAATTTTCTCTAGCACAATACATTTATCAAAGGTAGTTATGAATATGTTCTCTTAATCTGAAATTTTGGAAAGACAATGGCAGTTGAAATTATCTGATGAAAAACAGAAGTCTGTAGCCCTTTGGTCCATGGACCGGCGCCAGTCTGGAAAACATTTTTTGCCGGTCCGCGGGAATTTTTCTCTGGCACTATAAACTTATCAAAGGTACTAATAAATATGTTCTCTTCATCTGACATTTTGGAAAGACAAGGGCGGTTGAAATCATCTGACGAAAAACAAAAGTTGGCTTTTCTCCTAATAACACTGAACAAATTGTTTGCCTGCTGATATGAATTACTCCAAGTGAAGTATTCATTCTGAGNTTTTAGATACTCCACGAAATCGCCAGACGGAGAATTGCGTAATTTTTTCCGTCGAAAGTTTCGTAACAAGAGGAGAGTAATAATTTATCGAATCGTCTGAAGTATCCGGAGTCGGCGAATTCGAATGTACGAGACTGTGATCATCGTGTTCGTCATTGTAACATTCCAATTAAATTTTCAAAACTTTTTTTCTTTACTTGCAACTTCGCCGAAAGCCTAGCCTTCTCCGACGGAGTGCACAGTTGAAGGAAAACTAAAAAACGCACATCATTGTAAAAATTGGAATGATGCAATTGTAATTCACTCCTTGATCACTAGCGTTTTATTTAAAAAAAAAGAAGAGGGAAATGCCTCATTTATGTACTGTAAATACTGCACGTCTTATTCAAAAATCAGAGCCAAAAAATTCCACGCTTCTTGAGGTTAGTTTAAATAAATTGAAATAACTGAATTAACCTCACTGTTTGACCAATATCATTCGGATTAATTTCCAACATCGTGAGCATCATAGCGAAACCAACTCAAGGTTTACCCTTGAAGTGATTCAGACTACGATTTAAAATACGCAAATTTCATAGGATGGTTATTTTTTGCAATTTTCTGCATGGTTACTTGTGTATGTTTGAGAAAGTCTCATGTGATGAAATTCTGGTGGATATGCAGTACTGTTGAGAAGTGCCAGAGGAAAGTAATTTCTATTTATTTCGAGAGTTTCTAAACAAATGAATGTCGTTGAGAATGTAGTAATATTTACGTTGCAAGCCACGAGTGATTTATGTCGACAGACAAAATGATGTTCTCTGCCGCAAAGAATTTCGACCGAATTTGATTGTTCTTCAACCTTTTGCAAAATTATATACGTGTGTGTTTCGTGTCCTTCGTTGTTCGGGGGACGCGTGCGTGAAATTGGATAATTCTTTCATGAGTATTTCATAGTTATTGAGGGAGAATATTTTAAGATTTTTGAATACATTTCGGTACCGTGGAAATTGTTTTCCTTCGTCAGAGGTAGGATTGAGTGACGAGCTTCATTTCATTTGATTTCCTTTTTTTGAATTCTATCAAATGACGATAAACGTTTTGCCGACAATTTTTTTTTTACATTTCCCGTTTAAACCTGATGAATATAAGAAATTAAAGAAAAAGGGCTCGCTTTTTTTGTCACTTGCGAATAACCGGACCTTTTTTTTTTTCGTTGCTCCATTTTTCAACGTCTGTGGGATACATTTTTTTCCCAGCTCATGACCGTGTTAACAAGTCGACACGGAACAACGGATGGTCAAATGCAAACTTTCCTCACTCTGGTTGCGCGAAAACAGATGCCTTCGCCTGGTCAGTCCATCAGCTTGCCGTCCATCGGTGCCGTCTTGAGAAATGCTTCGCCGGACGTGAGCCCCACGCTGCAGGTCATCAATGGTCATCATGCTTCCCCCAGGTTGTTCTTCACACTTTTTTTTTCTTCGTAGCCTCATTATGGGCCCCATACTTTGATGATTTATCGTTCTCATTTGTATGAAAAATGTGCGTCGCTTTCGGGATCAATGGTCATCATGCTTCCCCCAGGTTGTTCTTCACACTTTTTTTCTTCTTCGTAGCCTCATTATGGGCCCCATACTTTGATGATTTATCGTTCTCATTTGTATGAAAAATGTGCGTCGCTTTCGGGATACGTTTCGAGTCAATATCGACCTATGAAATAGTGTTTTGTAAAAACTGAACGATGCTAGGTAAAAAAATATATATATTTATGGGCAAATAATATGATCAAAAGTTAAGCTACCACAGGTGGACTACTTTCTACAACGAAATTTAAAGGAACCAACAAAAATTCGTTATGGAGAGAACTCCTTAAAACATGGGGATGAACCCGTATGAGACCACAAAAATTTCGTTGTACAGAGAAAATCGTTGTATATAAATTCATCGTTGAGAAAGTCCACCTGCATCAATTGGTAATCGCTTGTATGCTAAAGGATGCAACGTAACTTCGATTATTTAAACTAAAAAGTATCTCGGATATTTAAGAATCAATTTTTTAAAATTTGAATGAAAGTATTTTGTGCAATGGATATTAATGGAATTTACACAAATGCACGGAAGCAACACATTTAGCAGATGCCTTGTTTACTTTTTTCCGAATTATTCTGGAAAATTTTCGGTTTTCTTTCCTAAATTCTCACGTAATATTTTATATTTTGTACATATTTGATCACCCCTTCAATTGTTTTTGTCTCAATTTTACGAGAATTCCCGTGTGGACAAGATGGTTGGAAGGAAATTATGCTGTTCGAGTTGCAGTAATTTAGTCCGCTTTATATCTGCTTCCTGAAGTGAAATTGTGGCTCTGCATCAATCAAATTATCGGTTATCTCAATGCAGAATAAAATAAAGTCGTTACTCATTTTTAAAAATATCATTCATGAAGAAAACTCGTTCAGAAAAGTTCGCGGTGCTTTGGGACGCGCTCAATCGTCTGGTCACGTAATTTCTTCATCCCTGAAAGTCAATAAATGACATAAATTTCCGCCCACCGGTGTTCAGATTACAATTATTCAAGAGATTTATGGATTGGTATCTTGGACGAATGTGAGAAAATTGTCAAAAACATAAGTATTCAGGGGATATTGACGCTTGTTTTCTTTTTTCTTACAGTATTAACAGCTCATCATCGCCGAATAACGGAAACGCGATGATTACCAGAGCACTTGACGAGCGGCTGGAGGAGTCGGACATTGCGGCACTGGTGGAGACGCTTGACCACGGATTGCTGATGAAGATCTACGGTGCAGTGTTGCTGGAGCGGAAAATCTTGCTCGTATCCACTTCGATGAAGTACGGTTATGTCCTGAAATCTACCAACTCTTTTTTTTGCTTCCTTTGTGGCAGACTCTCAAGTCAAATTTACGTGGGGTGAAACTTGAGATGAAAGTTCAGGCGGATTTTCTCGGTGATTTATGTTGAAAGTTGGCCCCACATTCATCAGTTGCAATGCGGAAAGCTTTGTTAGGCTTTTCCGGATTATCGAATACCTTTTCAGTCAAATGTACAGCAGTACAGTATACACGTTGCATTATTCCGGGCAATTGAAGCTACTGATGTATATAATGCGACCGTGATTAAATGAAGTTGAATAGTTGTCTGCATGAAACTATGTAAAGCTCTCATCACTCCCATGCGACTCCGCATTACACTTCATCATATCAGGATTAATTCAAGAGGAAGTAAAATGCTTAATAATGTTAATAATATATCTGTATCTTTTTAATTAGTGTAATATTTCCTCCTCTTCTTCAGGCGATTGTCATCCTGTGTGCAAGGTCTTTCGGGCCTCCTCTACCCGTTCTCCTGGGAACACGTTCTCGTCCCGATTCTTCCGCTGTCGTTGAAAGATGTCGTTACTGCGCCGTCTCCGTTTCTAATCGGACTTCTGCTACCTTCGAACCACGCTGGTGGTGACTTTGTGCGAGACCTGTTCGCATCTCCGGAACTCAACTCTGAAGGAGTAAGTTCAGTACGAGTTTTGAAAAACGAAAAACTTATTCATACTGATGTTGTTGCATAAAAAATATGAACGACCTGCGCAATATTGGAATTAGTTTTAGGCTTTTTTGGAGCATATATTCCGATATATAGCGCAAGTTTAAGCCCTGCATACTTGTATGTATCCAGAATCAAGTCCAAGTCTACATAAAAAACCCTGCAATTAATGGTCAACCAGCACATTTTAAATTTATGAAGCGATTTAATGATGCCTTGAGAATTGCAGGCGCAACAATTTCAGGTTTTCTTTATTTATTTTGCTTTCACCCGAATACTGCATAAGAATCTTTCTCTGTAATGAGCAGGGTTCGTCCTATACAGTATTCGATTGCAAATTCTATTTGATGTCGTTTGAGGTTTGCAAGTACTAAAATGCATGAGTGCAATGTTAAAAATTGTTCGGCTCTGAAATTTTGATGAGCCTCAGAATAGTTTTATGCAAAATTCTAAGCAGGTTTCAGGTTTAAAAAAAAATACAGTCTATGTGTCTTATCTTTGAAGAAGTAAAACAATTCATAGAATTTTATTCAATTTTTTAAGTACTGTACTGTGTGCCATTTTTTAAATGTTTGAAGATGGATATAAATTCAGTAAAATATAATGAGCCGAATTCAGGTACCTTCTTTTAAACTAAATAATAAGGCTAGTTCTGATTTTTAGGAAAGGC